GTCTCTCAGTCTCAGAAGTTTATAAGTCTGCATTGCTAAAAATTTCATTTTCGGTTTTTGTTTTCTTTCTTTGAAAAGCTGAACTTGTTCTAACATTGAAGTTCAGAGAGTTCATCTGCCTTACCGGCTCAGCTTTTGGCCCGCCCCTTGCACTTTGAGCTGGTGCTGGTCGCTGGAGCTGGAGCAATGGAAAATGGTATCATGGTAGCTAATGGACTAATGGTACAGTTGCTGCTTTTGTTCTTGGGGAAGCTAATAATGTAATATGCAAGTGGATGAATGATGATAGTGTTTCAGTTAATGATAATATTTTAGTCACTGACACTGAGGCTGTTGTTGTGGTGGATAGCTAAGGTCATTTCACAATTCACAGTTGACACTAAGGTTGAGGAATCTGACTGTGAAAGCCTGATTGAGGCAACTTCTTTGGAATTGGATGCCCAGAGTCTGGGTTGAAAAAGGCAGATATTAGGATTCATAGAAAAGAGTGAATCAAGTGAGAGCCTTGTTGGTGGAAGACTGGAAGCCTGGGACTGGGAGGGCTACTCCTATCAGGCTATCAGTCCTATGTTTCCAGGCTTCCTGCTATATCTGTGCTTAGAAACCAAATTCAGTTGAATAGTGCTTTCAATCAGGCCAATAAGAAAGGCAAAATTTGCCCTGCCATTGAAAGTAGAAACTAGGTTAAACTGGAAATTTCGGCAGAAGTCAAATGTAAATGAGCCACAAACATTCAGATTCCAGATCATCAATTTAATCTGTTACTGTAACACAATCTGGAAATGTCAGGCAGAGCTTTCCTAAAATCATGGGCATAAATGTGCCATTTCTCATATTTTTATGAAAGAATTAAGGCCAAGGTCATTAATATGGGTGAAGTGAAATTGACCACAAGCAAGCATGGAAAACTTCTACCATTTTCGAATGAAGTGCCACTGTGCCAGTGTCTGTGACTAGAGCTTTCCCACCATTTCTGGAGACTGGAACCGCGAGATTTCCCCCAGGTGAATTAGCTACCTCCTATCTTATTGTTACCGTAACAAAAGTGTAGGTACAATTAGGCTGCAGATTCCAAGTGTAGGTATTAAAAATTTGTCACGCTCACACGCTGGAGCCACAAGATTTCAGAAATAAGTAGGAAATTTTCAATCCTTACCATAAGCATGGTTGGTGGTCCCATCACTCCCACAGTCCCAGTCTCCCACTCCCATGGGCATTCATGTCTCATTAATGGTGGCTTCTGCCCAATTTTACACAATGATCTGTGTCCATGTCCCTTGCTTAATTTTATTTCATGTTCCCTGTTCTGTATCTTTTCTGTCTTCATGAATCACTTATAACATGACAGTTAGTTGTTCACCCCAAGGCACTGAGGAATTGAATTACAAGCATCTCTTCCAACAATCAAGTCCGCAATAACCCTGCAGTCCCTGCTGAATGCTGTCAGTGCTGTTTGTGCAACTGATTGTTACAGGCCAGAAAATTTCAACTTAAATGCATAAATTGTAACAATAATTAAGAAGAACAATGAAGTCCAAACCGCCCAAATGCTGTTGGCCTGCTTGTGGTTGGAGCATGGCCTGGATATGGGCCCAAATCAATGGTCAACTTTTTCCCTGTTCTCTAAAAGGGGGACCAGAAGCCCATATGTTTTTTGGAGCTGCTGGCCTTGGCTGGTCTAGGTGCTTGGCTGGTCTAGGCCTCACGCTTTGAAGCAAGGCAGGGAGGGTCAACAACAACAATACAGTTAGTGCCACATGTCTTGCTATGAGTATCAAATTATATATATGCAAATGAAAAGACTAGATAACCTTCCCACCTATGCTATAAACATGTTGAATCTTTTCATCATTGAGTTTTGCAAGTACCCAAAGCTGATAGTGCAGGGTGATTATTTTGATGGTACTGATGGCTGGTGCAAGGTGATAATTTTGATTTGAATGTGAAAGCCATGGGAGTGGAAAGGTGTTTACATGTAAGTGGGATAGTGAGTGTGTTTGTAAAGTGTGTGAGACTGTGAGAAGTGAGTGTGAGTGTAAAGAAGTATAGATGAGAGTGAGGAGTGAATGTGAGTGCATGACTGGGTTTTTCATGGCATGCCAGCATTTGTAAACTGCTCCCTAATTGACAAAGATGAAGTTCAACTCTACTGAAATCTCTTATCCATGTTCTATTCAAGATTTAATGCATTTATTGCCATTATCAAATCATGTGTGATCTAAATAACTATGTTCATGTGTGGTTGATCATCACATATGCTATAAGCTCATAGTTTAAAATAAAAAGAAAAGCTACGGTAGTGACAGCCTTGGGTTTTGAATTCAATTTTTTCTGTGGAATCATGAGGCTTGATAAAATTGATGTGGAACTGCAAAATTTTGGATAAATTTTACTTACTAAAACTTCTTACTACTAATATTTCCTCAATGATTTTGGGTTCATGGGTTTTCTCAATGACCCAAGGTCATGAATCATTATCTTTAATGATATTAATATAATAACTTCTTTGTTAATGGATTCTTTCAATTTGTGCCCTTGTTAATCTACCTAAACACCAAACAAAGATTGCTTTACATTTTACATGCTCACTTGAATCATTCAATCTAATTTGACAAAGAATTTAAAGGTAAAGGAAATGTTAATGATTTACATTTGTTCATTTAGATTACAATTTTCTTTAATTAATAAATTTAGTTACCTTAAAATGGGGTAACTTAGACCACTTTTTTTTACGATTGATGCCATTTTTTTACTAGCTAAATTAAACTTGAATTGAAACATGCAAAATAGAGGTCTATACTCTAGCTTCACTTACTATAAATTGCTGGCTCCTGCCTCTCATAGTCTTTATGTAATTTCAAAAAAAGTGATGGTCTTTGTTACCCCAGCTCTTGGGGTAACTTAGACCGGGTGGTAAAATCAATTATATTTTTTTGGTAAAATAACTCCAAATAACTCCAGGTTTTGGTGCATTGTAGTAGAACTCTTCTAGTTACATATGCAAATGACAAACTTGAGGAAAGTATCATAGTTTGCAAATGGGGGGCACCGCCCCATAATGAGGGAAATGTGACTACCTAATGGCAGCCCTGATGGGGTAATATTGACTGGCTTGGAAACTAAGTTAAAATTACCATATATAAGACTGTAGAGTCTGAAACATAAAGAAAAAACATAAATAGGCTGTCAAACATAAAATATGTTATATAAGGTAATTTTATATTAACTTCCAAGCCGGTCTATGTTACCCCGTAAGGGCTGACATTAGGTGGTCTAAGTTACCCCATTTGGGGGCAGTGCCCCCCATTTGCAAACTATGACACTTTCCTAAAATTTGTCATTTGCATATGTAACTAGAAGAGTTCTACTACAATGCATCAAAACCTGGAGTTATTTAACCAAAAAATAAAAAAATTGGAGGGGGTACTCTGACAGGCATTAAATAATAGCTTTTTTTCGTGGGTCACATTTTTAATTTTTTAACCTATTAGATATGCAAACTTTTTAAATCTTTCTATTGTGTTATGTAGCCTCAGTATTAGGCCTTTAATGCCCATTGACAAAATTTTTCTATGTCAAATAGTTTTTGAGTTGTGGGGGTTTTTGTTAAAAAACGAAAAGTGGTCTAAGTTACCCCGCCGGTCTAAGTTACCCCATTTTACAGTATTCTTTTCATTCATGTTGTTTTTTTTTTTTTAATTTTGAATATTTTCTAAGGAAATATTCTTAATTGTTGGGCAAAAAAAAAATTAAAGGAACAATGGAAATATTCTTGCATGGACACAGTAGTTAATTGGTCTTTTATATTTTTTTCAGTTTTATTGTTTTGTGTCTATTTTGTTAAAATGTTACAAAAGGAATATAAACATAGTTTAATATAAATTATCTTGTGCCAGTTCAAAGGATTTGTTCTGCAGCGATCATCTGTCACAGAAGCTTTCAGGTGAGAGGCATACCTAATTTAGAGCTCTGTTATAGATTTACTCTTATTATTCATTAAGTATTATTCTACTATATTGTTTGATTATATATGCATTTTTTATGAACCTTAATATGATCAAAATTATTCAAAATTTAATTCAATATACTGTAAAATTGCACTGAAATTCTCAGTGGCTTACATAAGAAGCGTTCATGACTGAGACGAGTTGTGTGACAGCAACATCTGTGGCTGTGTTTGGGTGTGGGTGGTGTTTGTTGGACGAGTGTAGCAACTTCACGTTTCAGTGTGAGGGGTAAGATTACTGAGTTTGCCAAACATTTTCTGCATTATTTTCTCAAGTTTGCATACAGGTTTAATGGTCATTATTGTGATTATTATTGTTATATTTTTATAGTAATATTATTTATTTATATTATTAATATGGTTATACAACCCATAAACTGTCTATACCTATTTAAGTCACATCATATTTTATGAATGACTTGAGTTTAAATGGCATATGATATTTAGACTCAGTGCTTTGTTAATTGATTAGTAATGAAATATTCAAATTGTGATGGGACAGTGATAGAATCTACTCCAAATGCAACAGTCTATTGCGTGTATACAGCGTTAAATTAATAGAAAAATTATTTAGATTATTTGATTAGTTTTAGCAAAACATTGTTTGTGCTCAGTAACACTGTAAATTATTCTTTAATAATATTAGCAAAATCATATATTTTTTTTTCTTTAAGATGTTATATATTGTTGAAATATCAGTTATGTTGCATAAACATTTGAATACTATTATTATAAAAGTCCCAAAAGGCGGCTATGTGTGAGCATCAAGCTGCCTGCTTGTCTTTAGAGGTTAATGGCTGATCTGAAAGGTTCTACATTTCATTTAGACAGTGGGATGAACATTATTGATATGTATGTTTATTGTTTTTTTCATGTGATTTTATGGTGAAATGATCACATTAGAATTAACTCTACAATTATCCATAGTAATTAATAACTGTTCAGTATGTTGCGTATTTCATAGATTGTATTTCATGCGCAGGGGCTTGAGCTGCAAGATGTCGTCTGCTGCAGGAGCTCCGGCGTCTGCTGCAGGAGCTCCGGCGTCTGCTGCAGGAGCTCCGGCGTCTGCTGCAGGAGCTCCGGCGTCTGCTGCAGGAGCTCCAGCGTCTGCTGCAGGAGCTCCGGCGTCTGCTGCAGGAGCTCCAGCGTCTGCTGCAGGAGCTCCGGCGTCTGCTGCAGGAGTTGCGGCTACCGCATATCTTGAAGAAATGATTACCATCTGCAAAAATATCGAAGCTATTATGACGCTAGCCACCAAGTACACAATCAAATTTCTGTATATGGAGTGCTGGGATAAAGATCCCAATGAAACTTACAAGACCTACCTGGAAAAACTTCAAGGTCAGCCCTTTACGGAGAAGGCTTGGAAAAAATTATGCGGTTTCTTGCATGGCAAGTTTGAGACCGAAAAGACCCCTGACGGATTTGACATGACGGCATCAGACAAATTGTTTATTATCGTCCGGAGTATTAAAAATGATGGGAGGGACTCAAATGCTGTGCTAAATAAAGTAAAGGCCGTCAAGGATATCAGAAATGAACTCTTCCATGAAGATGGGTTGCTGAAAGATCCTACAAAGGTTCCTGAGATCGAAGCTAAATTGATCGAGCTGATTGAAGAAGGATGCAGGTTTAATGGCCTCTCTGCCAGTGAAACAGATACGATGAAATATGAGCTGTACCTTGATATGGATAACTGTTATACTCCTGATAAATGCAGGCTAAATCACGTGATCTATCTTATACTCAATGATGGGAAAAAACTGTCAAACAGTCGTTTTCAAAAATATCGTACTGAAAATCTACTATTCAAGGTTGGCCGCGTTACGAGGTCAGATGTTTTTCACTCGCCTAAAGTGACACCATATGGACAAAATACCGGCACTTTTCCTTACACTGAAATATTAGACAAGGACGATAGAGTTGCAATTGTTTCGGGCATTGCAGGGGCTGGCAAAACAACTCTGCTCAAGAACATAGCCTTACTCTTTTCTGGCTCGCAGGCAAACATCCCTGATTTTTTAAAGGGATTTGAAGTCCTCATCCACTACGAGTGCCAGGACAGAACTAAGGAGAATTTGACTCAGGTCTTCATGGAACATTTTACTGGCTTGTTTCCTGAACCTGACAATGAAACTCGAGTCATGGAAGCTCTCCAGCAGCTCCATGTGCTGTTTCTCATCGATGGATTTGACGAGCGCAACAGAGAGTCAATGAATATTCTGCGTGAACTCCTGGGAAAAATCTGGCATTTAAAATCCCGCATTCTGATCACCACACGTCCTCAGTCTTCAGAAAAACTTCAAGATTTTCTCAGAAGAAAAGACGCCACTTTCACCGAGTGCAAGATCATGCCTCTGTCTGACACTGAGCAATTGGAGTTCATCGAGAGATATGGTCGTTGTTTGCCTATCGAAGCTGCAACCGCAGAGGCAATGAGAGATAAATTTTCTGAACTTAACAGGGAATTACAAACAAAATTCACAGAGCCAATTTTGTTGCTGTACTTCTGCTCGATTTTTTTGTACACTCCTGATAAGATTGACAAATGGAGAAGCTTCAATGACGTGACGAGAGACATATTTGAGCTACTTAAGGCCCTTGTGAAAGAAAAGCTCAGCGATATCCATGTCAGTGAGGAAGAAGTTCTAATCGACGACCTGTTCATGATCATTGGCCAGTGGGCTTTGAAGTTACTTGCCTGCAACAAAGTCACCTTCACTCAGGATGAATTCACGGACTTGCAACGTCTATGCCGTGAGAAGATTAAGTCACATGATGATGCCTGTGAAGTTGAAGCTAGTGTAATCCTTGACGTGGTGCTGAGAGTGGAGGAATCGTCTAAAAGCAAGACTTATATGTTCCCTCATAAGGCAATCCAGGAATTTGTGGCCGCATTTTACGTAAATAGACAATTGAAAAACCCCGAAAAAACTCTTCTGGATATTTTGGGAGTTACCAACCTGAGGTAACTCTTGTTAAAATCGCATGCCCACAACTCTTGTCATCTCTAGCGTAATGAAAGTTAGCATATTTGTAGCTTTATTGTCAGTGGAATGTAACCCGATCGTAAGCTAGCTGCTAGTGGCCGTGCATCGCAAATGATTTTGTGTCTAAATAATTTTTTGCAGCTTGAAGCAACCGCAGATTATAATTCAATTGTGGTAATAGAATCGTAGATAAATAGTTAATAGAAAGATTGAGATAAAATGTGAATGGGCAACTACAGTATATACATTTATCATGCATTTTCTCTGAATGCATGTTCCTAGGTTCTGTGCAGTAGCCCACGGTTACATTCATCTAAAAAATGTTATTTTTTGACAATGCGAACTTGTTTGTATTTTTAGAAGCATGTAGTATTTTTTGTGACCAATGTTGATTAAAGTAACACATAGGAGACATCGCACGTACAACAGGTATATCATGTGTGTAGTTTCTCTTGGCTGGTGACATCCTTAGTAATAAATCTTATGCACCGTGTGTGATGTGTACAATGTTCAGTTGTGTACTAGCAATGATGACTGATGTTGACAGTGTTATGCTGCAGGGACGGAGATCACAACCCGCGCCCCTCAGGAGTGCCGGCAGATAAACTTCAAGCAAGAGGACGTCATTTGCAGGGAACACAAGATCTCAGCCTGTGAGTCTTGATTGCGTTGTTCACTGAACTGCTGCTTGTGGATGCAATTATTTATATTCTTCTGACGTCTTTGCTCTGATTTGTATGAATTAGGGATTGAATTTAAAAAATTAGCAAGTTCTTAACGATTGGGCAATCATTCATGATCTGCATTTGCTACGCGACCCGCTAGTAGTTTTGACGCTACGCACCCCCGTAAAACATCTGCTTGGACACCTCCACCAGCTTCCTGGAGGTGCTGCTGTACGTGGTGCAGATCATCAGCACCAGCGTCTTGCAGCGGCGGTGGCCGGAGCTGAAGGAGCTGCTGTTTGAAGCTGGTGTCACCGCCGCCGCTGTGATGGACTGCGTCGCGCGCTGCTGTCCTGACCACGCGGGGACGGTGGCCGAGCTTGCCGCTATGTTGGAGGACGTACCGTGGGAAGTCCATTACGGTGGGTGACGTTCACTCTTGTTGAATGTGGTGAGTGACGTGTACTCTGTTGAATGTGGTGAGTGACGTGTACTCTGTTGAATGTGGTGAGTGACGTGTACTCTGTTGAATGTGGTGAGTGACGTGTACTCAGTTGAATGTGGTGAGTGACGTGTACTCTGTTGAATGTGGTGAGTGACGTGTACTCTGTTGAATGTGGTGAGTGACGTACACTCTAGTTTCATTTGTCAGTCGTCTTTCTTCAGCTGCCTCATCCAACGCAACGCGCCAAATTAAAATATTGGATGTTATTATTATGTGTTATATTAGGTGTCATTAGATTTTATTAATATGGATTATATTTTGTTATTATGTATCAAATTAATTCACCCCTGCTGACTGTCGCAGATAACCACGTAGCGGCAGTGATTGCGATGCTTCACCACGTTAAGCCTCAACTTCTGTGGGTAAACATGGAGGTCTTTGCTCAGAAGGAGGCCCAGTGGGTGGAGTTCTTGGAGGAAGCGGGAAGTGTGGAGCTTACGCTTTGGAACTCTCGTGACTCCGGCTACCTTTCTGACGACCTCCTCCAGTATCTGCCCGAGAGCAGGTGAAAACCTTTCAGGTGCAATAATATATTTCTCGTGATATAATATATCGTGATGTAGTATTATTGTCTTTTGTATGCGTATAATATTTTAATGTATTTTCATTATTATTCTTAAGTTTGATTAGCATAAACATTCATTATTTTCTCACATTATCCATCCATCTAAAGTGACTTGATCACAAATTCAATTTGACTTGTGATTATTTTCCTGGTGGACAGTGCGAGGCTGAGCGAGTTCTTCGGGTATATGGGGCAAAATGGAGCGGCCGCCCTTGCCACGATGGTTCGTCGCTCTCAACGCGATATCACTTTGTTTATGGACAGAATGCCAACGGTCACAACTATGGGCCACTGTGAGTGTAGCCCAGCAATCTCAGAGAATGCTGGAGGTATAGCTGCTTCTTTGCCTGAGGGAGTCGAGTGCTTAACATGGAAATAAACAACAACACGCATGTTGCCACGTCTACTGTACCACACCACACATCAGCACACATGTTGCCACGTCTACTGCACCACACCACACATCAGCACACATGTTGCCACGTCTACTGCACCACACCACACATCAGCACACACGTTGCCACATCTACTGCACCACACCACACATCAGCACACACGTTGCCACGTCTACTGCACCACACCACACATCAACACACACGTTGCCACGTCTACTGCACCACACCACACAT